TTCTTGGCGGCCTCGCTAAAGTTTAGGGGTTAGGGTGTAGGGTTTAGGGTTAAGGCTTTAGAGTTTAGGGTGTGGGGTTTAGAGTTTAGGGTTGTGGTCTATAAGAATCATAGCAATGATAGTAGTAATAGTAATGGTCGCAAAAGTCAGAATACTAGTAATAATGCTCATAATAGTAAAATCGGAATTCGGGTCAAGAGTGGATGGCTTTGCGTTGAGGGGAACGGTTTGGCTTCATTGGTTCAAGCACATATCTGCATGAAGGGCCTTCCAAGAAGTTTCGTGCAAACATGAGACCTCGTAACGCCTCTACAGGAGCACATGAGCTATGTTCTCAACTCCTCGTGGGTTTAGGGTTTTAGGGTTTAGGGTTTAGGGTCCTCGTATCCCGCTTAATCACCCCTATAATACTCCCCTATGTAATCCCCTGTACTCCCCTTTTAAGGAATGTAAATTCAAGCTCATCTGACGAGCTTCAGCTATCACGGTTTGTTATTCGGAAGATAACGCCTCTGTCCCTGAACCCTGGACCCTAAACTTACTGGTTCCTAGTAGGGCACTTGGGAGTAGAGTATATAGGGGTGATGTAGGGAGTAATTCCCTGATGCCCCACTAAGATCGAGTAAGTAAACACTAACAGAGCTTTGGGGACTCCATCTTGACCACAGGGAAGATTCTCAAAATGGTGGGTTAGGATTCTACGACCCATGGTATTTGTCGTTCTCAAAATCCACGTATCGACACCCACCAATATTCCTAAGGAACCCTATGTACACTCACCAACTATCATAACAAAAAGCCTAATGCATGTAGGATAGCATGTACACCCAAAATTATTTGAAACAGAATACTCTAATTGGGGTCTAAACTGGTAACCCTTAGCACCTGAGAGGGGATCATGGCAAAACGTTGGTGGGTCCATCTGCAGGACTCCTTTCGACGATATCTTCAGAAACACTGACATCGTGGCTCAAAATTCCATTTCTGGGATTTGGCCAACTTTCGCCAAGAAGTGTGTTGCTTTAACGTCATCTTTTTCGAAACTTTCGCGGAGCGTATTTTCACACGTGGATCAACTTGGGTATCAACTTGGATACCGTCTTTATTGTAGATTAGGCTGCTGCGCCAACGGGTTACAGAAAGACACTGCTGATATTTATTCACTGCAAGACGCTGCTGCCACACATCTTTCACGAAAAAAAAGCTTATCCTTTAGCGGCTTTACCGTCTTCTTTTGGCAAACTTTCGCGAGTCCTTTAAACCATCTAGCATGGTCGTCGTAGTAAAACCAGAAGACACGGACCCTTAGCAAAACAACCCTCACATGTAGCTACTGGGGCAACAAAGCTGATTCGGCCTTAGGCTTCCTTGTCTGTCACCCTACACCCCAAACCCCTAAACCCCAGAGTCTGAGGTCTAGGGCTGAGGGCTTAGGATCCTAAAACACTCAGCCCTAAACTCTCAACCCTAAACCGGAAGCTTAGAGTATAGAGCCTGAGCTTTGAAGGATCTCAGGCATGCTGTAACATGAACTTGCTTGTCCGGGCGTACCTCTGAACTACACCCTAAATCCTAAAGTCTACACCTGGACGGCGCCGGTGCCGCTAAAGCCTAAATCCCTTGCTTTTCATGTGTAACTACAATTTCTGTGTATACACACATACATCTATAATACTAAATGTTTTGGATTGATCTATAACCTGGGCATGTATTGATCCACCAGAATGGGTACCTTGGAGTCCAAACACTGCCCCTGCTCAAATCCCCACCCCTCTGGTGCTTGCGCCTCATGAAGTCGCAGTGCCAAATCTTCAGGACTGTCTGTGCGCAGGCAAGGATTCCAACAAAGCGAGGGTTTCTTTACAAAAGTCGTTCCAGTAAGAATTATAGTGTTGGGGTCTATATTAGGCCCCACTATTTTATGAAAACCTGCAATTGGGGTGGGTTGATGTTCGAACAACAAGAAGATCATGTTGCAGCCTCACGCGCTCAAGGGATTTGAGGCTTTGGTGTTGTCAACTTTCTCGGCAAGACAGCCTTGAGGTGCTGAAAGTCCCTAAACCCTGAACCCTAAACCCTAAAAACCTGAACCCCTGAACCCCTAAACCCTAAACCACAGCTCTAAACCGTGAATCCTGAACTGCCTTGAGGGTCTGAAGGTTTCCTGACACTTGGGGCAATCCGCCAGGGCGGTAAGGGTCAGAGCCTACCGTGTCCGGGAAGAACTGTAGGTTTTGGGGGTTTAAGGTTTCAGAGTTAGGGTTTAGGGTTGAAGGTCTCGGGTGGGTGTAGGGCTTAGACTAGACAAGCGATTGCCCTTCACGTACTCGCAGAAGCCCGAAGCCTAAGCACGAAAGCCAAAACAATCCACAAACCCTAAACTCTAAACCCTTAACCCTTTGTCTTGAAGTCCTGAACTCTATACAATCCGCGAAACCCAAATTCTATAGCCCGAGATCTGAGCACTGAATCCTGAACTCTGGACCCTGGACCTTAGAAACCTTAACCGCTAAACTCAAAACCCTTAACCATGAACTCATTGGTGGTCAGTAGGGAATCAGGGAATAGAATTCCCACAAAACCCACTGTTTTATACATTCCCTTGACCCTAAACCATAAACCCTAA